ACACACACACACACACACACACACACACACACACACACACACACACACAAAATCTGGTACAGCTGTCTTTATGGGGACCTGGCATTGACTTACAGCCTAACCCTGACCACAAACCCTACCTGACCCTAAAACTAACCTAAACTCAATTCACACCTGGGTCCTAAACTTAACCCCCAACCCACCAACGGCCTCTACCCTTATGGGGATTAGACTTAGGTCCCAATAAGTAGGTGTGTATGCCAAAAAAACTGTCCCACAACATAGGGAATACCAGTCCCCAGTCCCCCCCCCCACCCACCACACACACAAGCTATAAAAAATAGATATTTATTGCCTCTAAACTGATGATACATTTATATTTTTAACTCCATTTTCAAAATCATTTTTTATATGTTTAAGTTTCTACTAATCCTAAATAGGTAGAGGAATTTAAAATGAGCGCAAAATTTCAGCTTGGGGGAGGATGAAAACTAGTGGGGCCACCCCCAGTTGTGACACCCCTGGTGATTGACAGGTGATGTTCCATAGTGTAATGACAAGCTGGAGCCACAGCACCGCACATCTACCTACGAGTTTATACACTGTACTGCCTGGCCCAGGAGTTCAAACCTGGGTTTGGTGTTGGTGTTAGCCCTTATGGCCCAGGTCCAGCCTGAATTCTGGAATCTTGACAGCTATGGTTCCAATCAGGCTAGGCTGCTCATCATTTCTGTGTAGAAAAAAAAACCTCACTTACAGGCTGAGCCATTCCTATATTCTCCTCTCTGTCAACTTGCTCCAATTTCATTTAACACATCAGACATTGTCCAAAATTTACGTTCAAGCTGGAGAGAGCTCGCACCGGAGCAACCAGTTGTCATCATTTACCCAGAATGCTTTGCGATGTAAATAACATGGAGACATCTCTGTGACAATATATCTTTTAATTTTATAAAAACTAAACAGTTTACAGTATTTTTAACTTAAAGCCTTTGTGTCTCAGTTATAAAGAAGCTCTTTTGTGTTGTCAGCAGCTTCTGTTTGGGAGTTAAAACGGTCCAGCTCCGTCTGAACATGAGCCACCAGAGTTTAAAACACCACTGAGGGGCAGAGTGAATTAAACCTTCATGGCAAAATAAAAAGAGACAGAAAGTTCCCAATCAAAGGAAAAAAAGTGTTGAAAAGTCAATTTACTGTGAACTTTCTTCACGCTGTCTTAATTATAGTGATGCAGTAAACTCCACCCATCCAAGTAAACTGGATTAGCTGAAGGTTTAATGATTCCTGTGGTGGAAAATTGGCTTCCTGTGGCAGCATAAAACAGGATATTGATAAGGACAGATCAGCTGTGAGATCTTTATCCTTTTCTCTGTTATGCTGTATATTAAAAGACAGATTAATTAAAATTTGCCTCTTTCCTCACCAAGTCATTTAATTTCCTCTCCTGTCTTCTGTTTGCAGATTTCTGGTGAGGCCCTGAACAACATTCGGACCATTGCAGGTCTGGGGAAGGAGAAGAAGTTTGTGGAGACATATGAGGCCCATTTGGATGCTCCGTACGAATCGGCCCTGAAAAAGGCAAACGTATATGGAGCTTGTTACGGTTTCGCCCAATGTGTGGTCCTCTTGACCAACGGTGCTTCCTTCAGGTTTGGAGGATACTTGGTGGAACAAGAAGGGCTCCATTTCAGCCTGGTGTTCAGGTGAGAACAGGAAGTTTAWCTTGAGTTTTAGCTTCTTTTGTTAGATCCCAATCCAGTGAGGGCATATTCAATGTTCCTTGTGGTGAGGGTCTGCTCCCAGTGGGATGTGACCTTAATATCAATGTCTATTTATTTGCAAATAAAAACAACAAGAGTTGACCAAAGTGATTCACAATTCAGCCAAATGTATAAAACAACAAAGCAACATAAAAATGTAAAAAATAAGATCAATTCAAAATACAGAAATAGAACACTGAAAACTTTGGCTTTAGAAGAATCTCAAACTCTTCCAGAATGAAAGGTCAAGGAGTAAAATGAGTTTTAAGCAGAGATTTAAAAGTCTCAACAGTCTCAGCAGTCCGAATGCTAAGAGGTAAGCCATTCCAGAGTTTTGGTGCAGAAACTACAAAGACCCGATCACCTCTAGACTTTAGTCTGGATCTAGGAACATCTAAGAGRAACTGGTTGGATGACTGAAGTGCTCTAACTGAAGTGGGGATGTTAATGAGACCACACAGGTAGGATGGGGCCAGACCCTTTAAAGCTTTAAAAGTAAGCAATAAAATCTTAAAATTTATCCTAAAATGAACAGGAAGCCAATGGAGAGAAGCCAGAACCGGGGATATGTGTTTGTGTTTTTTAGTTCCTGTTAAAAGACGAGCTGCTGCGTTTTGGACAACTTGTAATTGATGTAGAGAAGATTTATCTAAACCAACATACAAAGAATTACAATAATCCAAACGAGATGTAATGAGAGCATTGAAACTTTACATCCTCTGTACCCAGGATCGTTTTTTTTTTTGGTCATGATCTCATGACGATGGATGAAGGTTGGAACTGGGGTTTGATCTGTCATTCCATCCTACTGTCACTTATGAACAAGACTTTCCACCAGTGGTACTTGTGAAAGCACTAATCAGCTAACAGTGAAACAATTTTTTTTATTGGATAAGCTTTTTCACTAACTTTAAAAAATCACTAGCAGACCAACTAGCTTCCACTAAATTAGGTTTTGCCAACTTTACGTTTGCTAACAGTTAGTTAACAAACTAACATCGACTGGTTTGTGTCAGTCATCAGTTTCAGATCTATTCAATTCCTTAGCAAGACAGTATGATTACGTTCACAGAGGCTTCAAATTTACTTTTTCCTCTTCTTCAGTGTGCACCAGCCTGTTGGACAAAATTTGCAGGCATTGACATAAGTTGTCTAAAATGACTAGACTGTTAGCTAAACTTGTAGAGATAGCATGTGATCCATAAAGAATGTCCAATACAAAATGATTATGTTTGTCATTATCAGTCTTTTTTCAGGCACAGTTAAAAGCTGCATCTTTAAAAATGGGATCATTTAGTTATTTTTGTTTGTCAGGGTGATCTCAGCTATCGTTACCAGTGGCACAGCTCTTGGCAGAGCCTCTTCTTACACTCCAGATTACGCCAAGGCTAAGATATCTGCAGCCCGATTCTTCCAGCTGCTCGACCGTGTGCCGTTAATCAACGTCTACAGTGACAAGGGCCAAAAATGGGTATGGAGAAATGTGTTGTGGTACATCAAAAAAATAAAATAAAATAAAAAAGAAGTAGGTCCTCTGGATGGGTTCTTCTTTAGTGAAACGTTTCGTCTCTCGTCCAAGAGACTTCCTCAGTCTCAAGAGTTTCAGGTGAACTCAGGTTACTCATCAGACTGAAGAAGTCTCTTGGACGAGAGACAAAATGTTTCACTAAAGAAGAACCCATCCAGAGGACCTAATTATTTTTGATTTTTGATTTTTTCTACCTGGATTACCTGACGTGTTGTGGTACAGTTGGCATATCTAACCTGCTTTTTATAGACCACTGGCCTAACCTCTGTTCTGGCCTCCTGCCCTTTGTGTGTTGTGTTTTCAGAATAACTTCCAAGGCAACATCGAGTTCATCGACTGCAAGTTCACCTACCCCACCAGGCCCGACATCCAGGTCCTGAACGGCCTGAATGTTTCAGTGAAGCCTGGCCAGACGCTGGCCTTTGTAGGCAGCAGTGGCTGTGGGAAGAGCACCAGCGTTCAGCTGCTGGARAGGTTCTACGACCCGGATCATGGCAGAGTGGTGAGARGAATAAATAAAACCTGAGAATTTTAAATGGCTACTGTACAATGGAGCTACGCTGAGTTTTGAAAATTGGTTAACGTGAATTGTGTGTTTTCGTTATACTATTTTTGGCCACACGAGGGTGTAGCGAGGCCCTACATCCACTTGACCCTCCTGCTGTCCTCGGATCAAAGTGACCCACATGGCCTTAGTTTTAAAGGAGACCAGG